ATTTAAAAATTTAGGTAGCTGAAATAAAAAAAAGAATAAGCTGGGTTGAAATTACACTGTGCAAGTTGTAAATTTTTGTTCGGGTTTCGAGATAACGGTACTTGAAATGCTGATTAAATTTTAACTATTTTATATGTAAATAGTTCCCTCAGTTTTGTAGTTATTTTACCAAAAATTTTGCACAAAACTGCATTTTAATATTACCTTAATTATTCCTTAAAAATTATTGAAATGGGTTCACTTTAACATATAGCTCCAATACAACCTATTACTCAGGTATGCGTTTTTGCGCTGTAGCTCTAGCTTCATATCTGAATAATAAATTGTATTCGTGCTACTATATGTTAAAGTGAACCAATAATTTTAAGTTATATATTCTTAATTGGAGGAGTTATAACGCAAAAACATCGTATCTGAACAATCAGCTAGATGTTACAGTGAACCAATTTCATCGATTTCAAAAGATAGTGAAGGTAATATTAAAATACAATCGTGGGAAAAATTTTAGTAAAATATCTTCAAAGCATTTTACAAGTATATGTAACATTATATGGCCTAGTAGTTACAAAATGATTTAGATCGTTTCGACGTATTTTCCAAATATGTGTCTTCAATTAAGATATTTTTGAAATAAAAATTACGCTCAAGATCACAGAATATTTTATCCTTACATGTTGATTTATTCAGAAAGGTATCAAATTATTCGTAATTATTTGCAAAACACAATACATACTTAAAAAGTTTTTAAAAAGGAATGCTTCAAAAACTATACGCGATAAACCGAAAATTTTGAAAATTGTGAAAACTAGAATACTTTAGTTACCTACTACATGTGAAGTGTACACATAAGTTTTAATCGCACATAAAATTTCAAGCCAGTATATGATATGCTTCAAAAGTTATGACTTAATTAATTTTTTCCCTCTTAAATATTACATAAAAAATTCACTTGTTTTTAATATATTTTTTTAAATTAAAACATCTATAACTCCAAAGTTATGCAAGAAATTAATTCAAATTTTTTAGAGCTTCGAGTATACGTCTATGAATTATATCCAAAACCAATCAGCTTAATATAGTTTGCAACAACGAAAATAAAGCTAAATAACACAAAGGTTACCTGTTTTTTAGATTTGCCCATTTGCTAATTTGTATGCGTATGGGTGTCTGCTCGTTGTTGCTGCATATAGGCTTGGGTGCATTTGTCGTTGAGTAGCATCTTGCACGGTGTAACGTCACCATTAAAGCAAAAGCCGCAGTAGTAAGTATTCTTGGTTTGAGGTAAAATTTTGTGAAATTTGTAATAGTAAATTCTTCTAACAAGCGATAGGTAGATTGTTATATCTGAAGCTCAATCTTGTAATAATTGCAGATAGGCCCTTTTAATATGAGCTGTTGAGTCATATTTTCTTACCAAAGTTTGCTCTTACAAATTCAATGACAATCTTTCTAAAATAGTAATTAAACTGGATTGAGAAAAGCAGGAAACCTCTTGAAAACAAAAACAAAGTCAACCAATAGAATTGGTTATTTTGTATTTGATCAAAGTAGAATAGAAGTAGAATAGAAGCATTGAAAGGAAGCAACGCAGTGTGGCAGCGCACTATGGGTAACTTGATCAGTTTTTGTGGATTTTTTTTTACAAAAATACAATTCTGCTCTTTGCATTTGATAGAGAAAAACTTCAAGGCAAGGTCCTAGCTACTAATCAAAATTCATTTTCCATTTATTTTCGAAGAACTATATTTAGTTAATTAAGGATTATAATTTCTTGATCAAATACTATGTGGAAAGTCATGTGCCAATTAATAAAAACACAAAATTTTCTGGACATAATTAATTTTTAAAATTAAACGACACAAAGAGACCAGAATCTTAAAAACTTAGAAGACCCTTTAACCAAGCTTTAATTTTTTATCAGATTTTAAAGAAGCCCGATTAACACTTACATATGTATATTCAACTAATAAACAAATGCTTTTACCCCACCGTGAACTGGAATTCTATTTTAGTTACAGCTGATGTTGCTACTGTGCCTGTTGTTGTTGTTATTAGAAGAGTTGCCAGCTTGATTTTATGTTGACAGCTGCATCAGCAACCAACACTCTGGTACATTAGTTTGCTCATACATATGATGATGGTATATATGTACATACATGCATGCATGTAAGAATTACAAATTTTAAGTACGCGCCGTTATCATGTTGATTTCTTGCCTCACTTGCAATCGCGCCTTTTTTATACCCGAGCGCACTTGTGCACAAGAGTATATTAATTTTGTTCACATAACGGTTGTTTGTAACAGCCAAAACGAATCGAGATAGATATATACAAATGTATACATAAATGATCAGGATGAAAAAAGAAATCGATTAAGCCATGTCTGTCTGTCCGTCCGTCTGTCCGTCTGTCCGTCCGTCCGTGTACACGATAACTCGAGCAAAAATTGAGATATCTCAACGAAATTTGGTATGTAGGTTTTTCTTAATCCAAGGTAGGTTGGTATTGAAAATGGACGAAATCGGACTGTAACCACGCCCACTTCCCATATAACGGTAATTTTTAGAAATACGAAAACTGCGATATTTTAGTAACTACTGGAGATTATTCAGTCAAAATAATTTTCAGACGAAAAATAAGAATATTATAAATTTTTGGAAAATGGGCGTAGCCACGCCCACTTATGATTACATATGTATATCTTGGTAACCGCTGCACCAGTTTCTCCCAAACTTGGCACAGTTGTGGGCCTTGGTACAGCATACAAAATCGCCGAAAAGTTTTAAAATCGGACAATAACCACGCCCACATCCCATATAACGGTAATTTAGAGAAATACAAAATCTTCGATAAATCAGTAAATATTGAAGCTAATTTATTCAAAATTGATGCTTGCAACAATTCTTTACCAAGAAATACGTTTATGGTAAAATTTTGGAAAATGGGCGTGGCACCGCCCACTTATGATCACATATATATATGTCAGTAACCGTTCTACCAATTTGTACCAAACTCGGTATGGTTATTGTGCATGCCACATGTAAGCAAAATGTTGAAAATTATTGAAATCGGACTAAAATTACGGCCGCTTTTCATATAACGGTAAATTTCAGAAATGCTTGAAACTTCAATATTTCGAAATTGAAGGACCTTAATTTACTCCAAATTGTTACACCCCGGCTTACCATCTAGCGGTAGGTTTCGGAAAGGTGAAAAAGCATATATTTAATGTTCGTCTCCGCCCGAACTTAGACTTTCGTACTTGTTTTATTTTGCTGCCGTTGTCGACGATGTCTGGCATGTCTAAATGTATGCCACTAGTTTGCATCCACAATGCATGTTCGTAAGTACAGCCATGGGCACATACCATACACTTGTGTGTGTGCGCTAACACTCTTCAAATTCATACCTACATAAATAGTAGGTGTTGAAGCAGCCACTGCGAAACAGCTGTTGCCTTTTGTTGACTAATCAACCGCCCGCCCGATCGCCCGGCCGCCCGCTCGCTCGCTTTCAGTCCCTCTCTTGAGACAGATTGCTTTCAACTCCGCGCCTCTATTCTCTTGCAGCGTAACGCCTGTCGCCGTTTATTGCATTCTTAACTCGTCTCGCTGCTGACAATAGTTTGTTTACGTAGTTGCTTGCTTGCTTGTTTGTTTGTTTATTTACGCGTTTGTTTTCTAAAACTTTAACAACTAACAAGTTTGATTGTTGTTTACACAGCGACAATATTTACGCGATTTTACGCAGCAGTAGCATCGAAAGGCAGTCTGAGTTAAAGCGGAAAAGGCTGCCTGCGCACCCGTTCGCGCTTAAGAAAAGTTGCTTGCTTGAGGCAGTGGCATTTCTCTAATTTCGCCTGCGCACACACAATTTGCCTTTTGCCTTTCACATTGCAAATTTCGCAATGTTTAACATTTTGTGGAAATTTAAATTTCTTATTTGATATTCGGTTACTTTTAGCAGCGAAACTTTTGCTAAACACAATTAGTGTGTGTCGGCGTATGCACACCCTACTTGCAAGCGCTGCTGCAAATATATGTATGTAGTGGAAAACTCACATATGCTAATTTTTTGATTTTAACTTTTTGAAGACACCTTTTGTACATCCGCTGAAACTGTGCAGCTGATTGTAAGCTTCCTTCGCTGGTGCACCTTGGCGTATGGATGCTGCAGAAGCCTTACAACTGTAGCATGTTTATACTACGTACACGCAAATGGGCGAATCTGAGAAATAGTCAACCGAAATCGCAAAAAATGCATGCAATTCGAATTCCCTCATTTTTGTGTCGAAAAAAGACATATTCTTATTTCATATTTCTTTTCACATTTATTTGAGAAATCTGATTTGCCTCTCTTACTTCTTGAAACAAAGCTCTAAATAGCATTGGTTTTAAGCACTTTTTTAATAAACACAATACAATGATATCGCTTTAAATAAATAAATTTTTTCAACGGAAAAAAGAGTAACGTCCGCAACGTAACGTCCGGAACGCACATATACAATTGTTTTAAAGTTAATCCAACCCTTAGTATGCTTTTATANTATGACAATTTGCGCAAATCGGTTGATTTGGATGGTCATATCAAAATCGCTTTCTTTCTCAGTAACATCTGAACATAAATTTCAAAGGAAAATACACCGACATTAACTCAAATTTAAATTTCCATTATTTCCTTCTCATAAGTACGGCTATAAATCTTCCCTTATACCACCAAAAACTTTTAACTTATAATATTTATGTCGGCACAAAAGTTAAAAGAAACGTCCGTACCTAAAGTCCGCAACGCAAGGATTTGCCCGTATGTACATTTACATATCGCACACTTACGTAAATCGAAATTGCGATCAACTAAAAAAAAAATGTTGGACAACTTTTTTGCCTAAAAATAAATTCATAGGACTTACCTCCAGTTAATGCAACAATTTTTTTCTTTGTGGTTATACACACTAACTTGCGTTGAATCTCTACGATCCACAAGAAGTTATATTTCCTGCTTTGGTTTTTGCGTTAGTTCACTTTAAATATAGATAGATAGGTGTGCGATATGTATATTGGTCCGATTCTAAAGTATTTTTACAAGGCAATTTCGTAAAAATTATTTTTTTTTGGCGTCGCCTTTTTACATTTTTTCGTCATATCTTGATGTTCTTGTCTCGAGGAGATATATATTTTTTTGTTACAAATTTCTTTGAATTCAAGTTCCCCGTTCTAAAATTCACCCAGCAGACATCAATGTTTATCTATGATTATAATTATTAAAAAAGAAAAAATTATAATCGACCACATGTCACCCCAAAATGTAAAAAGGTGACCGGATACGTGGGTTTGAGCAAACATTCGTATTCGTCTTTGCATCCATATTCGTATCCATATCTGTCTTGGCATTCGTATTATCCTTCGTCCTAAAATTCGTAGACCAATTTGTCTTCGTATTCATTTTCCTCTTCGTATGCTGATAATTGAAATTATAAAGACATCTTGACTGGTATTAGGTCCACCTCAAAAGTTATAAGGTAACAAATGAACAGACATTCACATTTATATCTAAAGCTCGAAATGTTTTTAAAAGTCCTCATAATATCGCACACCTAGATCTTAGCTGAGCTAACTCATATCAGATCGTTAAATATAACTGCATACAAATTCAACGGAATTAATACAAAAACAATAGCTTTTTAGTTAGTGTATGTATATCGACACCTGAGTAGAAGATCGATTTTTTTATTAACTTTGTTCGAAAACGCTCTATCTCAGAAAACT